TTACCCAAGAAGCTTTGGTGAAGAAGGGCTCTAAAGATCGCCTATGGGCTGTGGAGAAGATGAGTTCGTTGTTTTGGGTGAAAAATCCCAGTAACTATTCTGTTTTTGAAGTATTAAAATGACTGGGCAAAAATGCCCTTCGCGTTCGCGGGAAGGGGGCCGCGTTCGCGAAGGGTAAAGGAGTCAAGGCATCGCGAACGCGAGGTACTAGTCGCGAACGTGTAGAAGGATGAACTGGGGGTCCGGGATTTGCTTATACGCGAACGCGAGAGGGGGGGCTCGCGAACGCGGTGAAGGGGGAACCAAGGCTACGCGAACGCGGGGACTTGTCCGCGAACGCAAAGAAGGGAAAGCCCACTGGTACGCGAACGCGAGCTGAGTGCCGCGAACGCGAAGAAGCAAATAACTGGGCAAAAATTTCAAAAAATCTGCTACATCTCCTAAGTACAAAACCACCCCGAACACCTCCGAAAACACTCCCGAGCCCTCGGGGCTCCTAACCAAACACACACCCTAACTCAAGAACATCCTACGAACTTAACCATGCGATCAAATCGCCAAAATAACATCATATACATAGAATCAAGCCTCAAATCACATGGTTTTCTTCTAAGTTTCATAAACTTTCAAATTTGGAACCTATAGTCCGAAACACGTCAAATGACGTCCGATTTCGACCAAATTTCACAGAAAGCGCTTAAACCATATATAAGACTTGTACCGGGCGTCCGAACCAAAGTACGAGTCCGATATCACAGTCTTTTAATCAATTTTCATTTCCATTTTCCTTAATAATTTCAGAAAAAATAATTTCACAGAAAAATTCTTTTCTCGGGCTCTAGACCTCGGAATTCGACTCCGGACATATGCCCGAGTCCCATATTTTTCTACGGACCCTCCGGGACCGTCAAATCATGGGTCCGGGTCCGTTTACCAAAAATGTTGACCAATGTCAACTTTAATCATTTTAAAGCCACATTTTAAAATTTTTCACAGAATTTAACATATAATCTTTCCGGCTACGCGCCCGGATTGCGCACGGAAATCGAGGCAAGTAAAAATGAGGTTTTCAAGGCCTCGGAAGCACGGAATGAAAGAGAAAACAGGTGATGACCCTTTGGGTCGTCACACCAAAATTTGTCTGTCAACCGCAATCGGTTTTTGCCGAACTTCTAGTAGTGAATGAAGCAAATCTTCTGCTCTGAAGCAAAACGTTTCCTCTCCTTTTATTGGATAACACAAATTATTACTTTAATTAATTTCTCATTTTTAGATAATGTCTTCTAAAATTTTGACTTTGAAAATATTCCTTTCTGTGCCAGTTTTCAATGAGAAAATAACACCGTATAGCCGCTGTAAAAATAATATATATATATATATATATATATATATATATATATATATATATATATATATATATATATATATATATATATACAAATTTTATATACTTTTTCGGCAACCAGATGTAAATAGTTTCTGGCGCGGGCTAAAGTGATAATACACTCTGGTCATTCATTTGCTTCAATAATATGCCTAGAAGTGATCATGGCAGCTTTATTTTTTCAAACTTTAACTTTTCTTTTTGAAAAAATCAACCAAATTTTTTTAAAAGTAAAAGTTTCAACGTTAAAATCTTAAATTTATCAGCTCTGTACTATTAGTGGGTGTTGGTTTATTTGATAAGTGAATTAAAAAGACGGCGAGTGCCGAAACCAACCCAGTGATTGATCTTGGGCAGATTCTGTCATTGAGACTAAATGTGCTCCACTTTAGCATACTTAAGGGACTAAATATGCTCAGAGTTATATTTAAGGGACCAAATTAGACCTACCCTCAATGATAAGGGACAATATTGGCCAAAAACTCGATAATAATGTGTAAGTGTTGAGATAGTTTTGAAAGGAAAAAAAAAATTCGATCCAAAAGTGAGGGAAGTCATTTTCTTCCCCCCTTTGGTGAAAAATATTTGACTTAATTTTTTGCGACAATCAAATACTAGAAAATGATTTATATTTTTGGAAAACATTTTTTAGAAAATATTTTTCTTCATATGAAGACACACCTTCATGGAAATGGAAGTGCACCTCCATACAAGCTAAAGGAAGGAGCTCTTGCCTTGCCTTTTTGCCCATAATAATAACAACAAGAACAAATAATGATCACATATTAATGTTTTCTTACTTTAGATTAATCAAAAGCCAACTTTTCGCTAATTGCATTTTTTAGCAGGTTGATCAGATCATGGATCAATCATGATCAGCAGTCAGTGCCATGACACTGACCTTGAAAGTAGACTTACTTGTACTTTCCTTATCAAGTGAGACCCCAAAAATTAATATGCCCAAATGATTATTTAATGAGGTCCCATACCTTATACTAATTAAGTAATTATGCTGAAGGCTGAAGCTCACGTGTTAGAATCTTGATAATCATATAATTTTTGTAATGACCGAGAAATTCGTTGATTCCAACTAACTAAGAAAGTCGGTGGATTATTACGTTCCTGCCCTTCTATCCTTCTTCACTTAAATACCAAATTTTGTTCACACATCATAATTTGAACTCATGAGATGCACGCAGTGGCGGAGGCAGGATTTCCGCCAAGGGGGTTCAAAAAAAGAAAAAAGTTAAAAAAATTAAAAGAAAATGTAGCTAGTTCGTTGATTCCAACTAACTAAGAAAGTCGGTGGATTATTATGCACCTGCCCTTCTGTCCTTCTCCACTTAAATATCAAATCTTGTTCACACAACATAATTTGAACTCATGAGATGCACGCAGTGGCGGAGGTAGGATTTCCGCCAAGGGGGTTCAAAAAAAGAAAAAAGTTACAAAAATTAAAAGGAAATGTAGCTAGTGAGAATTGAACAAATGACCTCACAAAGGTTTTGAACCCCCTTGACCACTAAGCTATGCTTTTAGGCTATGTCAAGGGGATTCAAAACATATTATATATTGATAAAAAATAGATTTTACCTTATATACTGTATAATTTTTCGGCGAAGGAGTTTCCGGTGAACCCCCTTCTACCCCCTCTAAATCCGTCCCTGGATGCACGTATAAAGATTTTTAAGTATGAAACGTAGGGGGCCCGTAATGTTTGGCGAAAATTCCATGTACATATGTATATATGTTTATAAAATAGTGATACATTATAGCAGTGACGCCCTATATACAAAGCAGATTTTGGTTGAATTCAAAAGTGCACCCGCGACCTTCAAATCCTGGGTCCGCCTCAGAAAGGAGGGAAATCATCGACAAGTAAGAGACTTCAAGAAAGAATGATGCTTTGTTTAGAGTTCCACCTTCTTTCTCATTCTTGATCAGTCTTGTCCAATAGTAGCTAAGGGGAATTGTTGTGAACATGACCTGCAGACAGCAACTTAGAGATCCAATTAATACATATGAGAAGACTTGTTGAGTAAAACCAAACAAATATAGCATCAATTTTTGTAGTGGTGGATCCCATTTTTTGAGGCATCAATCTTTTTCCAACTATGAACATCAAGAAAAAGATGGAAAAGAGATAGACACTACCATATTTGAGTGATTTTTATTAGCCTCTATGTATTATCCATTTGTCTTTTTCTCACTTCAGATCTCTTTTATTTGTATCCAAATCTTTTTCCCTCCACCCCTCCAAAGTAGTCAATATGATTCTACTTGCTGGCTGATAAGGAAATGCATTGTTTGGGTAATTGTGAAGTATAAAAAAATACCATATATTGGTAGGACGGAATATTTTTAGTCTTGTCAGAAATTTATATGTCAGTAAAAAATATGAAGAACTTCTAGTGCTTGCGTATCTAAGAATTCATATAGCCGACAATAACTTAACTGCTAGAAGGCGTAGCTGTTGTTGTTCTAGTAGATGTATGTGAATACTATATATATGTTAGTACGCGCATTTAGCTAGTAATCTTCAAAGGACTAGTTATTAAAAAAAAGGGTGGCCCGATGCACTAAGCTCCCGCTATGCGCGAGTCTGGGGAAGGGCTGAACCACAAGGATCTATTGTACGCAGTCTTACTCTGCATTTCTGCAAGAGGCTGTTTCCACGGCTCGAACTCGTGACTAGAGGTCACATGAGAGGAACTTTACCAATTACGTCAAGGCTCCCATTCCAAAGGACCAGTTATTGTCCAACTGAAATAGAAAGTTAATTGGCCATTTCATAGTTATTGTGGTTCTGAAATGCAGTAGAACATGATCTGAGATATTTGCCTTCCCTCTGATGGGATGGTAAGAGACAACTTTGAACACAACATGATAAATATCAGAACGTTGCAGACAAGAGAGCCATCCTTCTTGACCAAGGAAAAATGTCTTTGAAACATCACACAAAGAAATCTGCTACTTATATCTGTTTCTATCATTAGTTTTGTACAAAAGAATAGCCATAGAAGATATTCAGTTACTATGAAGGTTGTTATTAGTAAGTAATGATGGTCTCCTCTCCAGTCTAAACTGATGGATATTATGTTTAAGTTCTGATCATATAAGAAACAGCTGGTTTTCAAACTTAATGCAAAGTTCTTTATCATAACATTGCAGCAATAATTTTCTAGTAATTTGGAGCCAGTGGCGGAGGCAGGATTTTCGCTAAGGGGGTTCAAAAAGAAAAAAGTTAAAAAATTAAAAGAGATTGTGACCAGTGGGAATTGAATCAACATAGGTTTTGAACCCTCTTGAGCACATAACTATGCTTTTCGGCTGCGTAAACATAATATATAGAGGCACAAAACAGATTTTGCCTCCGGCGAATGAACCCCCTTCTGCCCCCTAAAACCGCCGCTATTTGGAGCTCCTTTTAGTCTAATTATTCTTTTGAAGGTGGGGGCATAGACACTAGAAATGATATGCCAGATGATGTGATTAAGATAAAAGAAAAAGCTAAACTATACAATGAACACTCATGGCTAGCCACACAGAATAGTGAGCAACCTTGATTTCCATGGAAATATCTTATGTGAGATAAACCAACTAGTATTCGTTAATATTGACAACCAAATAGTTTTTTTATTCCTCAGTAAATTCAGTTATATACAGTAGCTTACAATTCGTTAGATATATTCAAGATAGATGCCAACTACTAATCCTGTCAATTGACGGCATAAAAGCTGGCAACATGAAAAATATGCACGTATAGAATAAAACTTATAGATCCCCAGTATTGCTATAGCTGCTTTTTTCTCACATATATGAGGAAGTCTTGATGAGTTTGGCACAAATTCATACAAAAAAATATATGTATTTCATGAATTTGGTGCCTTCATCGCTTACATCTTTGGAAGATTAGCTTACAAAATCCTTAAGATCTGTCCGCAACGATAGCTAGAGTCTCGTACCATGATAAACATAGGCCAAATGAAGCGATTTCATTCTCCTGTCATTGAAAATAGAATGATAATTCAGATGATCGTTACTATTCTGTGTAGGCATAATCAAAGAGCTGACTGATAATGTCATCAATACAGATGAGAGGAGATGGTACTCCTAATTATCAGAGGTCGCCACTCAAAATACAAGGATTTTCATATATACAGTCAAACCTCTCTATATACGGTCATACTTCCAATGAGAGGTGAAAAAATATTGTTATATGTGTCGAAAATTAGATCAGAGGTCGCCACTCAAAATACAAAGATTTTCATATATACAGTCAAACCTCTCTATATACGGTCATACTTCCAATGAGAGGTGAAAAAACATTGTTATATGTGTCGAAAATTAGACTGGTTCAACTTGAAAATTGGGGTGACTCTATAGCTCTCTGAGTAATTAATTACCTATGCAAAAACAGTTCCATACAACTTTCAAATGGTAAAGCAAGAGAGGATCCCTTACCTAAGTTTCCACTAATAGCATCTACGGCGATAACTCTTCAACTGTTGGGTGCATTAGTATTAGTAGGATGTGGTAACTGCTGACTTTGCTGTGCTGTTTGTGAACCTAAGCCAAAAATGTTCATTTGCTGCAAAAGAAAAGCGAAAAACGCGAATCGAAAGAGAATTCAGGAAACAAGCTTTGCTATGTATAGTAAGGGTACATGATCAGAATTGGTATAGGTAGGTGGAAGATCAAACCTGAGAAGCACCTTGAAGTGGATGGAACCCCATGTAACTGGCATATTGGTCTTGAAAGTTGGGATTCTGCAAATGGCGTTGATAGTTAACCGAATTCAACATTGAATTCTGGCACATTGCAGCTTGATTAGGAGCAGCTGGATTCAAAGGAATTGTTGAATCAACCAAAGGAAGCGTAGCTAAATGCATGGCATTGTGAATGGAAGGCACCGTTGGCGGACCCATCCCCATTCCTATTCTGGACATGTAGTGTTGGACACCAGGAAGCATCATTGATGCCATGCCACTTCCCATCCACATCATCTAAAAACCACCATAAAAGAAACATTTGGCTTAACTTATATTCACTGTTAGTGTAATACACTATCAGATCATCTAAAGATAACTACAAGTAACTGTTCACAATAACTGAGATTTGTATCCTGGAAGTTTATACCTGAAGTTGCATCTGAAGTGACTTCAAGTATTCAATAGCTTCATCCAGCATTGATGCTTTATCTGTCTGAAAAAGAAAGACAGGAAACACAAAATCAGAAAAATTCAAGCTGAGTAGGTGTAAACAAGCATCAAATATGCCCAATCTTTATTTCAATACATTAGCTTTTACAGTCGGGGAGCCTTGGTGTAACTGATAAAGTTGCTGCCATGTGACCAGGAGGTCACGTGTTCGAGCTGTGAAAACAGCCTCTTGCAGAAATGCAGGGTGAGGTTGCGTAAAATAGACCCCTGTGGTCCGGCCCTTCCCCGGACCCCGCGCATAGTGGGAGCTTAGTGCACCAGGCTGCCCTTTTAGCTTTTGCAGTCGGCATAGAGAGTAAAATAAGCCTGCTCTACATTGTTAAAAAATATCCCATGTATCTAACTTCTAAGTCATGATATACCTGTTGCTTGTGCTTAGTTTAAACTGAGCTATTCACTTTACATGGTTCCCTAATGTCTTTATAGTGTCTACATAGAAACTACTTCCTATTCAATACAGAATGTGTATCTTTTCTGTGTTACTATAGGTTGCGTCGGATAATATTCTACTTTCCAATGCTAACGATTTCTTAATCAGATGAAAACTAAAAATATTGCCCATGAAAAGTGCAATCAACATACCTTAGTAGAGTGAGGAAGAAGTTCTTGCAAGGCCTTCATCTTCTCATTGATTCTATCCCTCCGTCTCTGCAAAGAGAAAGCCATTTGACGATTAAGGTGTATTTCTTTTGAAATAAGTCCTAACATATCTATATATTCATAGGAAGGTCCAACAATTCTACCCTTTCAGAGAGGTTATGCACTTCTGCAGCACGGCTCCTACGTGCAGTTCCAGATTTTTGGGCTGACTTGTTTCCTCCAGCTGGTTCTAGCTCACCTGCCTACATAAAAAATTATGTAATTTCAGTAATCCTTTCATGATAAAGATATGTTATCCTTGGTTTAGAAGCTAAATTAACTTACTTTACTTTGGCATTCTGGTTCTTCACCATCTCTACTTTTCCTTTTAAGGCTTTGACTATTGGTTGCTGCAGATAGATTGCATGTTCTAGCATAACTACTACCCGATCCGCCTGAAGATGATGTGTTAGCTGGTTCAAACGTGTCTCGGTCCATTGTATCACTTTGCGGAGTAACTTTACCAGTATAGTCAGTGATCATTGCTGCAGATAAACCTATATTTGCATTGCTTGAAAACCGGCTAGTATCCGCATCAATGGCAACTTGATTGCTACCACAGTGACTTGAACCAACTGTCATCACAGACCCCTCCTTAACATTGTTTCTAACACTTTTCTGTGCTGATACACTGTTGTGAAATCTTGGAGGGGGCATTGGATTTGGATCAAAACTAGAATGATGTGAATGTGGAAAAATATGATTGATCTCTAATGGATCAAATTTGAAAGCCTTATTGTCCTCTGATTGCCTAATTGACTTATCAGTCTCAAGTGGATTTGTTGAAATTTCAGATAAGAAAGGGGAACAAAATTCTTTCTCAAACGATTCATCGATAGGGCAGTCAAGCCACGAGATAGTTTCATCATCTTGAATCAAATTGGTGTGATTTCCACAGGAGACAACATCTCTTATTGTTTGTTGATCATGTTTGTTAAACTGTCTGCATTCATTAGGATCATAGCCTTGCTGTTTTTTATGTTTTTGGCTGTGTAATACTACTTCTCCGTTTCGCCATAACAGCTCCACTAGCTCATGATCAAATCTGTAGTAAAGGCATTCCAGTTGAAGCTAATTCAAGATTTTTAGACAAATTTATACTTTGATTATGTGGTAAAGAGAGAGTATTTACCCCATTGGCTTCTTTTGATGTGGAACATGGAGTTCAGCCTCAATATTCCATTCAGGTAGACATGGATTCATGGCTAAAACTACTGCATATGAAGGAAAGAAACAGTCTTTAGACACATTAAAAAGATAGTCCTAAAATCATCAAAAAAGGTATCCCGGTGCACTAAGATCCCGCTATGCGCGGGGTCCGGGGAAGACCGGTTCGAGCTGTTTTCACGGCTCGAACCCGTGACCTCCTGGTCATATGGCAGCAACTTTATAAGTTATGCCAAGGCTCTCCTTCATAGTTCTAAAATTATCAAACTTTGAAAAAGAAAAATAGACAGCTTAATGTATTACTTGGACAAAGTGAAACAAAATATATTTTTTTCATATCAAGAACAAGTAGAATCTACTCTTCCAAAAAGGATCATAAAACAAGGAAAAACATGAGCACCACAAGAAAATACAAAACTGAGCACACAAAAAGGAGATTAGTACAATCTCTAAAAAGCATGCTGAGATAACTAAATATAGACAAGCATGACATAACACAGAAGCTTCAACAGTTCCTCTACTTTTCACAACTTGTCCTCCCCCCCCCCCCCCCCCAACCAAACCCCCAGAAGAAGAACAACAGGGAGAAAACCAAATATAGAAAGAATGGAAAGAAAGACTTTTCTTGCTCAGTAGAGGTAAATTATTCTGCAGTTTACCTGACTGAAAGAAGGAAGAATTGACAACAGAACAGAGAATCTCTGACAAGTTAAATGTACTAAAGAACCAACCTGCACATAACAGAAACTTCAACACATCAAAAATGGCTAAAAATACAATCTTTTTTGCACCCAACTTCTAATAATAACAACATAACTTGACCAAAAAAAGAAGTGAACTCAAAAGACCTTACCTTTAAACTTAACAAATGGAACAAACACCAAAAATATAGTAATGGAAAAAAACCAAACTCAACTCAGAAAAAAACTATATGGTCTCTACTTCACTCATTCAAGAATCATAACTTTTGGAAGTGGACAGTAGTATTAATGAGAAAAGAAAATGATTGCATGAATTATCTTTGAATACAGCAAAAAACAGTGGGTTTAGCTGTCAATATTAGGGTCCCTACTACCATATAGCCTTAGCTGTATGAAATCTTCTCTTATGGACCCCTTTACACCTTGTGGATCTAATGCTGCTAAATTCTGTAGCCACCTTAGCATTTATCCTCTTTTTTTAATCTTATTTTATTATATATATAGCTTATTTTAGTTGTACATATTTTATTTAAGTATTGTGTTCAAGGAGTAATGATGTTAATTAAGGAGACAAGAAGATTGGGGTCAATTATTATATTATGATTGAACTCTAGTACAATATTAGCATAGTAGTATTTTTTTTAAATGTTTGTTTTTCTACTTTCTTGATTTGGTAACCAATGATAAGAGTCCTTTTTCCAATATATACTATATATTAACTAAGTTCTTGGATTTGTTTATACTCCCTCGTCTCAAATTATCTGTCGTAATTTCTAAATATAGTTGTCTTAAATTATTTGTCATTTTAGAAGTTCAAGATAAAATAAATTATATTTTTTTTGTTTTACCCTTAATAGTAATTGTTCTTGAAGATGGAGATAGCGCATAAATAAGGGTAAAATAGTCCAGAACCCCTCCAAATTAATATTTCTTAAGGGGCGTGGAAAAAAAAACACAGACAAATAATTTGAGACGGACTATTCGGTAATGAAGTCAAATAGAATTTAGTAGGTGTACTAATGAAGAGATTTTGCTCTTGATTGCCTTTTTAATTCCCACGTTTTTTATGTTACTTAATACTATATCATTCTTGCTGTTAATTTAATATCTCAGTGTCGCATATTTGAAAAACAATGTCATGTTCACATTTTTGGATAGGAATATAAAACTCTTTTCCATAGGCATCTAAATTCAAAGGAAAAAAGAAAACAAGCACGGTAAAAAAAGACGTTAAAATTTCAGAATTTATATAATGTTAGTATTGGTTCATAAGAGTAATAATAATAGTTACTCCGTCCGATCTATTTTATGTGGCGAGTTACAAAAGTCAAACTACTTAATATTCGATGTGAATTCAAAAATAGAATCTTAAAGTTATTTTAAATAAAATTTACATATTTAGAAGTTACATTAAAAATAATACAAATCACAATTATTAATAAATTAAAATATATATACAATATCATGATCGCAAAAATCCCTTTGAATCTCCAAATAGTACACTATCACATAAAGTAAAACAGATCAATAACTATTACCTTCAAATGTTTTACTACTACAGTTATAGTGAGTTACTTCACTATAACGATCAAGCTTTCTTGGAAACCAATTTTTCATGTTATGTTATAATATATGTTCTCGATGACAACACTTCACTATAGCAGTCAAAATATTTCGAAACAAACGATGTTATTATAGAGGGGTTTGACTATATTAGATTTCGCCCATTAATGGTACAAAATTAAAACTTTTGCTTAAGATACAGTAAATGTTTCACATTTGCATTCCTTTAAAGAATACTAGTATTCAAGGCCTCAGCAATACACTCTCTAAAACTAATCACTGTGCAATACATGTAGGCATTTGAGGGGGGAAAATGTACATGTAAAAATTATCTTGTCAGCTTATAATTTTTCGACAGGGAAACCTGTAACAGGTTTTACATCTAATGCCAAAGATCGAAGTTCGTCAACTTCATCTTGAGTGAGTCTCCAACCCAATGCACCAGCAAATTCTTTAGCTTGATCTGCATTTTTGGCTCCTGGGATGGGAACAACATTCTCTTGTNAACCAAGTTCAGGACCACCTGTAGGAGGTAACAAGACAGAGCAAATGAGTGCAAAAGCATTTTCCATTTTCTCTGTATTTTACATGGTAATAGAGCCAGGTCCGTTCCCGTTTGGGCCCTTATGATATTTTCTCCACGCTACAGTTGGTGATCTGGGCGTGCGAGGGGGTGTTAGAGTAGGTTAGAGTCCCACATTGGTTAAGGAATGGGCTGGTGGTCTCCTTATATGGACTTGGCCAGTCTTTTCCCACGAGCTAACTTTTGGGGTTGAGTTAGGTCCAAGTGGCATATCTTTACACAATGAAAATCATTATTTCCCTTCGCCTTTTCTCCTTAAGACTTTCCAAGAATTGCCCAAGTAATGACTATCATATTCCTAAAGTCATCCAAGAACCACCTAAAATACGAGTTTAAGGTCTATTATGCACTGATGACATATAAAATATTTATACGATCAGGTCACTTATTAAGCAGTTATAGGTAAATTTCTTGATAAGCAATAATCTGTAATCTAGTAAATATAATAACTAACCTGATATCACAAGTTAAAATTTGCTGAAGTGTAAAAACATTTGTACACCATCAGTGTATTTAACTTAAATCCCTAAAATATATTGAATGTTGACTCAAAGGTGAACTTGGAATTTCCTTATGATATTATAAATCTTGACTCAATGGACTGTCGTAAAAGAAAAAAAAATCTCGTTTTGGTTATAGGATCATACACTAAGCTAGTACGCCTCTTTTTTTGATAACTGAGAAATTATTGAGGACTAAATCGCACGGTTCAAACTCGATGGATAATGGAACAGTTTCTATCCTACCCTTTTATCTATAGTAAGGTTCTAACTCATGACATGCACCTAGCTAGTAGGGTTCATTTGACGGTCCATTGTCACTTGTACTTCATCTTTTCCAGCTAAAAGATATGATATTTGCGATGAAGGTGGTGTAACCACTAACCTAGTAACTTACAGCTTCTACTACGACTAGCGTAACAGCATCCCAAACAAAGCTACACCTGAAGAAATTAAGCTTAGCTAAATCATGAAATTTTCTAGAAATAGGGAAGACATACCTGTGTTGGAGTCTTACTGTAGCTTTCTCCTATCTCCTTTATTCTATTAATGAGTGGCTGCAACTGCAGTGCACAAAAGTTCTTGAGACGTAAAAAGTGAAGTTCTTAATAATCTGTAGTCATATACTATAAAGCCCTTACTTTGGTTAGAAATTCAGGAGTATAGATCTGTCCTCGAGGGCCGGTGGGTGGATTTTCTGGGGTATATTTCCCAGTCAAAGCTCCTGCATGAGTTTGGAAATGTAAATGAGTTTGAGCCAAATTATCCCAAGCAAAGTAGACGAAAATTTTCGTACTTTTAGCTTGAAAAGTAATACAATTAAGATGCTGAAACATATCATCGCAACAGTAAGTTCTTTGAAGCAAATAGAATAATGTACTGGTAAATAGTGTTTTCCCTCCAAAGACACCAAAAGAGACCAAATAAGGGATAAACTATTGCTTTTATCAGTAGCTTCAGCAACAAACTTGGGTACGCAACTTGGAGAGACATAATTGTTTGTTGTAATTTAACTACCCGCAGTAAAGACACAATCTAGACCTCCAGTTAGCCTTAGCGAAACACGCTTGTGGAAGCAAAGGCATTAGTGGAACGACAACTTAGTGTTGCTTCATAATAAGAGAAGCAAGAACCCGTTTACATAGTATGCTTCAGCAAGTTCTCTACAATTCAGAATTCTCAAGACGACAATCCAAACATGATAAGTCCAAAACATTATTTCGGGGCCATGATTTCATGTCTGGTTCATTGAGGCCACAATTTGGGCCACTAGACAGCACATCTTCACAGAAATAGTTGCAATACCCAGAATTAACAAAATTAGGCAATTAACTGCTCAATCAGGGTTTACCTTGAATGTATCACCCAAAGAAAAAAGATCAGGGTGTACCTTGAGCGATGGGTGAATATGCAATCAACGTGACTCCCAGTTCATCACAGGCAGCCTTTACACCATTTTCCTCTGGAAACCTATATATCAGGCTATAATTGACTTGATTTGAAGCTAGCGGGATGCCTCTCCTCTTCAGCTGCTCGTATGCAGCGCGAAGACGCTTTTCTGAAACAAGAACTACTTCAATCGGCCAAATATTGTATTTAGCATGAATCCTTGGTTAATTTGCCAAAGAGTCATATTTTCATAACACTCTTGTAAAGTAAGCAATCCAAAATGCTACCGAGTTGAGAGTGAACTAAAACAAATCATCAATAACTGTCACAATACTTGAGTGACTAGAAATAACAGGCTTACCACTATAGTTAGATACTCCCACAGCTTTTACAAGGCCCTGCTCCACTGCATCTCCTAAACCATCAATATAACCTGAAAAGGGATTTTCTCATAGACTAAGCTTTTCTCGATTTTACGTGTGAAAGAAAAGTAACTGATTTGTTGAATGGAACAAGGTAATCAGTCAAGACAAACCTTCATTTCCCCATATTCCTGGCCTGAGAATTATACCAAAAGAAGCTTTGATCAATTATCTACTGTTTGTTTGACAGAATTACAGAAAATTAACCAAAAAGAGAGGGTCCAAGAAGCCTACCAGTGAAGTTGATAAAGATCAACTGAAGAAAGTTCGAGACGTGCAAGAGAATCCTTGAGGGCGGCTAGGACACTTTGACGGCCTAGCCTCCACGGCAATGCAGCAAATTTAGTCGCAACAGCAACCTCGACTTCTGGATTACTTTCTTTTCTTTCCTTGATGAATCTAATATAAAAGCAAAAACTTTAATTGTTAAACAACAAACGTAGAGAAGATGCAAAGTGACATTCTTTTGGCCACAAGTGAAATTAATGAGCATAGGAGAAGTTAGAGCTCACCTTCCTAGCAGTGTTTCAGAATTTATCGCACCAAATGAGAACTGCAAGTAGAGGAAATAGTGGTTTCGCGTGATTGTCCATCTTTCTATAGAATTTAGCAGACTAGGAGAATTGAAAAAATAAAAACCAATTCCTCACCCTTGAACCATAAACCTCAGCAGTATCGATGAATGTTATTCCACAATCAATGCTGGCATCAAAAGCAGTCTTTGCAGCCTTCAGCTTCCTATCTGCGATCATTCCAGTGTTAAGAAAAATTAAGCATGCTCGTTTGGATAATTTCCTTATGTGTGCTTAGTGTTTAGGTGTGCATATATATCGCAACAAATATTTTCTGTTCTCCAAACTAG